AAAGCCCAGCCACTAAAGGCTGTGTGACCACTGCTTCTTCATGGCTGTGAACTCTGAGGCTTCTAACAGTTCAGTCCCCACCTGGGCACCTTAAAGAGTGTGCTTTACACACCAAGTGAGGCACCACCTCTCCTGCAGGTGCATGGTGTTCTTCAAACTGCCCACAAAGGGCTCCCTCAGCCTGGAAGAGGCCAAAACAGGGGCTGTCCCTCACCTGGGTTTCTATGAGATGGGGAAGTGGAAAGAAGAATGGTCTGCCAAGTCCATAGGTTCTTCTAGGAAGCCACTACTTCCCCATTTTGGAACCACATGGAACTCTCCTGACACTGGGAAAGAAAAGTGTTCCTCTAAAATGTATAAGGACTACATTTTGATGAAGAAACATCCATTGGGATGCCAACTTTAAACATGAGAGAAAAAAATCTCTTCCTTGGAGACTGAAATATTAGGAAACAACACATCCACTAAAAGCCTTCCCTGAAAAAGTCTAAGCATTTTTTTTTGGTTCATGGACTCACATGAGTCCACTTAAACTCCCTAAATCTGGTGGCCTGCATGTCTTCCATTGTGCCTCTAATAGTTGGGAGTTACCTTTTTTGTTACTGCTGAACTGCTAGACTGGAATCATCCTCCAAAAGCTTTCATCTTCTCCTCTTGTGTTCCCTGCTGCAGCCAGGGACAAGCCAGGAGCTTTTTTCTTACCTACAGGCACTTAGTATTTTGCTGTCAAACAGGATTTCCAGAGTTTCCTACCATGCTGTCCCTAGCTCAGTTGATCTGCTGTTTCTAGTGCTGGGAGTGGAGCACTCTGGCCTTTCCTTGTGTTTTATCCCCCAATCTTTCCCAAAGCAGCCTTAGCCAATAACTTCTACCCTGGGCATCCTCACTCATGGCAGAACTGAACCAGGAGGAGCAGTAGGATGAAATTTTAGGGGGGAAGACGTTGGTGCAGTCACAGGCTGCACTGGGGAGAGCCTCAAAGGAATGGTCCTGTGCAAAAATAGATGTGAATGTGTCCCCCCACCCCCCTTGGTTTCTCTCTAAGGAGAGAAGGGCTGTCCCCCCGCACGGAGAAGGTAAGTACTGCATCTTTAAGGTCTCAGCAGTGAGGTAGAGGAGAGGAACATATTGTCAGTGTTTATACCTTTCTTCTTTGTTGAATTTGGGATTGGCTTCAGAGATATCCAGGCTTTTACTGAACATTGTTTTACTATGGCAGGAACAAAGCGAGAAAACAGAGTTACTAGTGTGGACAGTTATAAAAGAGAGTCACCTGAAGCAATGCTGGACACCCAGCCCCCCAACCCCTCCTCCCCTTTTTAAGCAGTGCTCTGAAAAAACCTTTCTTTTGCTTTCCTCAAGCCTGCAGTTCATTAGCTCCCCTTGACTTCTGAGCTCTGATATGACTCCCCCCATCCCTACTTATAAACCCTGCTCTCCTTTTTCCAGCTGAAGACTCAGGCACCTTTGTCGCCTTGCCCAGGAAAACCAGAGCCTGCCTGAAGGCATGAACTGCAAAGCCCTCATTTCTCAGACTTTTCTAGAAGACCTCAACACTAAGCACCATCTGGGAAAGGTTAAAATCAGAGCACAGAGCCTGGGAGAGGAACAGCAATCCATTTGGCAGTCTAATTTGTAGGGTCCATTACCGCTTGCTCCCAACTCTCTTCCCCGTACTCAGTGTATAGAGAAATATCCTTTATCATCTTGGATGTGAATCCCTGGAGCTCAGAAGCAAAATTCCCTGTGCTTTGCTAAAGGAGCAGCTCTCTGTAATATATTTCACTGGTAATATGCTTCACTCTTTCACAGAACACTGCTCCCTAATGTTAGCTGATCTTTCATGCAAGCTCTCCCCTCCAACGACCAGAAGAAAATGAATAGTTAATGAAGCCCATTTTAGAACACTTTTTGGACTCTCACAGCAGAGCTGCTGAAAATTTCTGGCATATCCCTGAGAGATTCCAGCTCCCATGGAATTCTTCCTAGTCTGTGTGATTTTGGCACAAAGGACAAATTAGCTGGTGTTAAACTAGGCTCAGAACCTACCTCTTTGCTTTTGACATTTCAGTGAAATACCAGATAGGCTGAGATGTGTGGAGAGCACAATAAGAGAAGCAATTAAGATGCAATTATGAGCCTGTTCAGTTGACAGCTAGCAGGGAAAACCAAGAATTAACAAAACTTAGTCACCAGTTTTAGGGTGGCTGGTGTTTGTGCGTGCTAACTTTGCCACGTGCAAAGACCCAGTGGAGGAGGCTTGGAGAGGTCACCACAAGCCTGTCAAGCACGAGCTCCACGAGCAGCCCTTGTGCTGAGATCCTCTTCTCCATGATCCAAAACCAAGTCACAGAGGGATTATTCTGATTCTGTATTAGCAGAGGACTTAGTAGCGTTGGCTTCATGGTTGGACTTGATGATCTTAAAGGTCTCTTCCAACCTAAAGGACTCTATGACTCTGTGTTTTCCCTTCATGCTTCCTCAGCCCATAGGGTTGAAGGCTGCAGTGTTTCAAATCACAGACATGCCCCTAAAAAAGTGAAGCTCAGACACTTGTGGGGTCCCCAGGGGGTTACCCAAAGCACAGCTCATCACGCAGACACGGAGACCAGGGGTAGCAACAGAAACCCCCTTGGTGCAAGCAAACATCTGCTCACTGCTGGGAAAGAGGACAACACCACAAGACACAGGGGTGTGTTCTGCCCACTGGTGAGAGGAGTATCTCTGCCAGCTCAAGAAAGAAGCAGTGGCTCTGTGTCTCCAGCTGGCTACACAAGTCATCAGGGTCTAAACAGGAGACCTGTTCCCATGATCCACCTCCCTGTCTTCCTAATATGACAGGCTAAAAAGCACTGAACAGCCATCAGTGGAGACCAAACCCCACCCTTCTTAAAAAAAGCATCCCCCTGCTGCTGTAAAATCCACCACGAGTGGGGCACTTCATGTGACCAGACTCCAAACATGCCCCACTCTTGGTGGGAGGTGCTCTGGCAGGTGGTGCCCCAGCAGCAGCTCATTGTCCCCAGGCCAGCCCCACGCAGCAGTGCTCCTTAGTGAAGCCAGTCCACGTCCTGCCAGCGACACAAACCTGCCCCTGTGGCCTCTGGATGTGGATGGGATGAGTTATGGAAGCTCACACATGGAGTAAAACCACACCTGCCCTTGAACCCCTTCCAAAGCAAGCACCACCAAGCCCACCATCATCGGTCGTGGTGCTCTTACAGCCCTTTCTCCATCCTTAATCCCACCTTTATGTCCAGCCCTGAGTTCTGGTATGGATTGCCCTGTAGCTCCTCTGTGCCTGGCAGGTTTGGCTTCCTCCTCAAGCCAAAGTCCTTCCCTGCTGATATGTAGCCTGGACACATCTCTGCTCTGAACTCACCTCAGACCTTTTGATTCATTTCCTCGGGTGCAGAATCGAGTGAGACATTTAAAAGCAAAAGAAATACTTTGGATAGCAAGACACAGCTTTGCCTCTTCAGACTGCTGCATCCAGAGTCAAAGCTCAGAGCTGGAGGGGGAGGTTTTGGCTCTCAGAAAACTCCAGGATCAATCTAACAGCTCCAGTTGGGCTCTTGCTGTGAAGAGCTGGAGAGCACCATGACCCACAGGCAGCCCTGGGCTGGGGATTCACCTCTGGCTGGCTCTGGGAGCTTCATGGTCTGTGCATCTCCCAGGTACCAGACTAAACACTGCACACTGAATTGGGAAGGAGCAGCTCTTTGTCAGTGTTGTGGTCATCCTCATCACCTTGAGGCTTATGAGGAACTCTGAGGACACCCTGTTCTGAACACTTCCTTCCCCTAGACCTCACACCAAAGCAAACCACGTGTTCAAGATAGGTTTCCAAGCTACACTACAATGAAAAAACTCTTTATGGCAGTGTAGCTCAAGGCCATGTATCCAGCCTGAACCAAGTCCTAGCAGATTCTGGAAGCCATCACTTTTTCCTCACTGTAGGTAGGAACTGTCACAGCTGCCAGCAAAACTTCCCAGCAATTCTAGGGGCCTCTGGATGTGAAATTATTTCGTGTTCTTCACCCAGCTCTCAGTCAGCAAAGGGAGTTTCTGGGCACAGCAGGTTCTTTTTGAGAAGAACTTAACAGCTGAGCAAAACAACCATGTCATAAAGCTGAAACAGAAGTTACAGCATCACCACCACCATAAATATCCATGAAGTGCTTGTCTGTGTTGATTCATGGAAGTGTGGATCCAAATCCACGTGCTCCCCTTGGGGCAGTGACAGGGACTGAGGAAGCCACTTCCATGCTTCACAGAAGTGAACTTCCACCATCCACTCAACTCTCCCCAGAACCTGCCTTGAGGAGACACCCTTCTCCTTTGCTGTTTCTCCACAAGACTGACACTTTCTTTGATAGAAAAGAGGCAAAATCATACATATTCCATCACTCTGCAGGCATGTGATAATTTATGTGGGTCAGATGCATGCTGGCTCCCACAGCACATTTTAGAGGCATTTAGAGGTGCCTGGAGAGGACTTTCCAGATTCCAGCTATTCTGATGAGATGGAGGGTGAGGCTCACCTCATCTAAGTTCAGGCACCCAAATCTAGGCACCTAATTCAAGACAGTCACTTAGGTTCCTGCTGGCTACAGAGACAGAGCAGAAGAACCAGAGAGCAATTTATCCCATCTAAGTTTGTTAGAACAGGGGACATAGGAGACCTTCAAAGCTCTCTTCTGTCCCCACTGCTTGGAGTGACAGCCCATATCACGAGCTCAGACTGAACACCTATGCTCTTGACAACTAAAAAGAGGTGAGATGAATCTTGCCCAGGGGACGTGGTGGTTCCTAAGCAATAGCTGCAAGCAGACAGAGCCCCTGGCAGGACATCTGGCCCTGCCTGCACAAGCACTGCTGGCTGCCACATCCTCTTCCAAGCGTGGTTGGGAGTTGTGGCACGAGGAGAGAAGCTCCACAGCCCCTCAATGAGGGTAACAGAGGAGGGGGGAGCACCCCTGGGTGCAGGAGGGACCCACCTCTGTCCGTGCTGTGCCATTTCAATAGCTCTGCGAGCAGGGACTGGGGAGCCGCCGTCTGTCACGCTGAGAACCTCCATGGACTTCCTCTCTGGCCGCCTCTTCCCATGCCTGTTCAGCATTGGGGAGTCCACACGCTTCCTGGGGGGATCTTTAGGGAGAGAAAAGGTTGTCAGCTGCAGTCAGAGAATCAGAGAACCGTCAGGGTTGGAAGGGACCTGAAAGATCCTCTCGTTCCAGCCTCCCTGCCACGGGCAGGGACATCTCCCACTAGAGCAGGTTGCTCAGAGCTCCATCCAGCCTGGCCTTAAAAACTTCCAGGGATGAGGCTTCCACCCCCTCCCTGGGCAACCTGTGCCAGTGTCTCCCCACCCTCATGGTGAAGAACTCCTTCCTAATGTCCAACCTGTATCCACCTACTTCTAGTTTTGCTCCATTCCCCCAAGTCCCATCACTGCCTGACATCCTAAAAAGTCCCTCACCAGCTTTCCTGTAAGCTACTGGAAGGCCCCAATAAGCCCCCTTGGAGCCTTCTCTTCTCCCCAGGCTAAGCCATCTAGGGACCCTGTGTCTGTACCCAGGCTGCTGGAGCTTTGACACCTTTGGGTGTCCCTGCCAGCTACAGCAAACGTGACACAGGGACACGAGGACACCTCGAACTCAGAACTGCCACTCCCCTCTGAAAACACACCCTTGATTTTGCACCTTTGAGATCAGATTTCAGGTTTTCCCCACTGCTTTACATTTTTTCCTCCTTCAGCCTTACAAATTAAACACACTTGTCGAAGATCAATCTCCAATGAGAGCTACTAAAATTCATCTGAGAGGTCATCATATACCTTCTACTCCTGTAGCAACTGAAGTGCTTCACATTTTTTATCATGCAACATTTCTGTGAGGTATTGAAGTGCTACTTTCACTCTGCAGAGTGAAAACTGAGCTATAAGAATGGGAACTTTAAAGGTAATTAGTTGCTAAACGTGCTGACAAACATCTAGAGGTTCTGAGGAGCACCTAAATTGCTCTGAAAAGAGTAGGCAGGTAGGAAACTGCCCTGCAGGAGGGGACTTGCCAAACCCTGCACACCCCCGTGGTGAAGCAGGGAGCAAAATGCAGAGCTGCTGAGCTGCTTTATTACTCACATCTCCCATGGCATCAAAATGGGAAAAAGCAGGAAAGGCAGGAAAAAAAAAAAATACAGGAGGATTTTCATGGCTTTGGTTGGGTTATTTCAGTTCCCTCTGTTTATAAAAATGGAGAGTGACCACTTGTAAGAAGCAGCATCCTTCACCCCTGGAGATAGAAAGCAGCTCATGGTGCTCAGCCCCTCAGGTTTTTGCTCTGCCAGGATTCCTTTCCAAACCCAGAAATACTGCATTTGACAATTCTACCTCTATTGCCTAGTCTGATGGAATTATTTTTATGATCCTGCCCTCCTCACACCCCCATCCACTTGCTGGTTTCTCCTCTCTCTCTCTCACATCATGTTTTTTAGAACAAGATCTCTTTAAGGCAAAGCTTATTCTTGAAACAATGAGCACAGACGGCTCAAATGCAAATGGGCTACTGATAACAACTGACCCCATTACTGTGCAACCCCAGTATCCTTTGTATTAATGGTAATGCTCCTGTTAAAATTTAATTAGAAAAAAAGCAGTTGTATCTCCCTCCATTTCAAACTACATCCAGCCATGAAAAGCTAGGAGAAAAATGCTAGCAGGGGCAATGACCTCCAGACGGGGGAAAATACATAGTGAGGGAAAACCAAAGGGAGATAAACCTAAGAAAACATTTCCACTGGGTGACTTCAGCTGGCCACGCACCCTGAAGAAAGCTGGGACATGGTTTAGACATTTCAAACTCCTGCTTAGTCAAAGGAGTTCAAAGAATGGGGAAGGACTCGACCCCCAGGAGAGCTGCTGGATTCAGAAGTGTGGCTAGAGCCCAGTAACACACAGAATGATGAGTATGGACATAAAAATATGACCAAATAATGAACATAACACATAATTATGTTTGGTTTTGACAACAGCAAGCTGATACAAGTTTTGCAGAGGGGTATCAGACACTAGGAAGGAAGGTGGAGGAGCATGGTTTGAAAGAAAGGAGAAAGCAGGATGATGAAGAGAGAAGCTGGTGTTGAAAGAAGCTCAGATCTCAACAATGAGATAATAATAATAGTGTCTAAACAAGAAAGCTGGAAAAAGGCAAGAAGAGCATTTTAGGAGCAGATATTTTATAAGGCAGCTTGATCCAAGCACGTCCCAACCAGAAGACTCTGGCAAATGGAAATTCGGCTGAGTGACACTTGCAAAAGGGACAGCCCAAACACGAGGTGGATGTTAAAAGACAGCAAAGAAGAAATCTGAAGGGGAATTAGCTAAAGACCCGGGTAACAGTGTTTTGTACAGCCCTCAGAAAGAGAAAGGTTGAGAGGACAGGAGCCAGAGGGACTGTGAGGGTCTCAACAGCAGAATTAAAGAAGAGGATATTGCTAATGAGTGAAATGGTGCTTTCCTATCAGCCTCTCCTGCCCAGGCTGCTGGAAGATACTGATTTCCAACCTGTATTTGAAAGTATCAAAGAGAGAGACTAAGCAAAAAGAGCAGGTGGGGAAACACACCTATGAATGCAACGAAGATTCACAAGACTTTGATGGAAAACACATCCAGAAGCTTGGATGAACATGGCTGAGCTTCTAAGAGAGGGATTTGAGTCCTCTTTAAAATCAGCTACAATCCCACACCATCCATGGCTGAGAGTAGCAAGTACTGTAAATAATTTTATAAACAAGTACTGCAAATACTTTTCAAAACAAGTACTGTAAATATTTTTTTAAACAAGTACTGCAAATCTTTTCTTAAAGGGTCTGAGTAAGGAACAACAGGGCACAGACTCTGTCGTTGCTGCCAAATCTAAAGATCTAAAGAAAATAAACATACAGCTGTATAAAGACAAAGTGGTGGCACCTAAAAGCAGTAGAAGGTTTTGCAGAAGCAGAGGAATTAAATACAGGAAAGCCTCCAGAGCCTCCTGCTCTTCCTGACTCTCTGGACAGGTTTTATATGAGGAGAACAAACCAAGCCCTAGTCAGGTTCTGTGACAGTTTTGAGGATGCACTTGCCTTTTATTTTGCATCAGAGGAGTGAAGCCACTGCTGAGGATTTTTAGAGAGGAAGAGAGGTAATGATCCAATTATAGAGGCATTTAGCTGGAAGGTGGGGAATAAAGGTTCAGCTTCTGGGTTTGGATGAGCCACCCATATCCTATATAGCTCTTCTGGCCCAACCCTCACTCTTTGGTTTATTAAGAAACTCCACCCCACAGAAGCCTTTTCCTCAAGGAGACGTTGGTTGATGTTCATTCCTTTTACTGAGAAGTTTCTGGTTTCTGTGTTTTCAGGTAAAGAAAATGGAGCTGGATTTGAGAGATGGTGAAGGGGGCCCTTGCCTGGCCCTCTGAGGAAGTTCCTTGTAGCTGAGACAGGCAGAAGGGACACCAGAAGAGACTGCTAGGCTGAACTGGCCATGTTTTCACCTGCATCCATCCTTTCTGAGACTTAACATGGAAAGAAAGAGGGAAAAGCAAAACATTCTGAGCTGCACTGTTGGTGTTTTTCGGCAAGAGCTCAGGCACTGCACAGCTCTCATGGATGTGGCTTCTTCAAGCTGCTGTTTTTAAATCTATTTCTCTGCTCTTTGTTTGTGCAGGGCCTTTGCTAATGGCTAATGATGAGATATTCATCAGAAGCATGACTGCTCTTAATTAAACCTTGCCCCATGTTCTCAGAGTTGCTGCTGGGAATGGAGGAGGTGGAAACCCCCTGTGGAAGAGGAAATACAACCAACAACCACTCCAAGAACAACCCTCCAAGAGTCTCAAATGTGCCCAGGAGGCACAAAGATACATTCAGAGTGGTGGTTCCCTCTTGGGGAACATCTTCAACCCTGGTACCAAAAAATATCAGAGCAGATCATAACATTTCAGTTCAAACCCTGGAAATACTTTGGCATGGGGAAGAGAAATACGTGATGTATTGAGGGCATAGCTCTGTATTCACTCACATGCTGGAGATGAAGATTCTTGAGTCACCTTGCTTCTTTTTTTTATGACAAAACCACTTCTAAACCAAGATGATGGTGTCCTTACATGGCAGGATAATCAGTCTGAGTCAAAAGCTGATTAGTAAAGTGCTAGATGACCAACTGCACTGAGCTTTTGACCATGGGACCTGCAGCTGGCATGTCTACCCATCTTCATCAGGATCTAACAGGCTCTCTGGAGCTCCATCCAGGTAAGAGTTCAAAAATTACTGCATTGACTAAGAATTTCCATCTCTTCTCCCATAGAAGAGATTTCCCTGCAAAAATTACAGGGTCTGGAGCTTGGATAAGGTAATAATTCAACAGAATATTAGCAAACTTACAGCCCAGTGTATCACTAGCTTGGGAGATTCCAGGCTTTCCAGTGAAAATAGAGCACTTTGCTTCTAGCCTCCAAAGTGCTGAAATACAATCCCTGAAAATCACAACACTACTGTGTAAAAATGTTCTTTCAGGTCATTGACCAAAGTGACTAAACTTTTATTAGTTAAACTTTGGGCAGCAAGAGTCACTGAGAGAGTTAGCTCCTTAGGGAAGCATCTTCCCTGTTGTCTAGGTTAAGGGAAGTCCTTGGTGATCACAGCACCCTAAAATACTAATGAACAATTCTTCAGGGATAAAGCCAGTATCACAAGAGCTTTATAAGGCAAATAATCTCAGTGCATATTGAGCTTTAAAAATCTTTCTAAGATAGTCTAAAAACATGGGGGTTTGATGTATATACTACAGATATAGAACAGGGAATGTGCAATACTGCATCTAAATGAGTAATTAGAAAATTCTCCCACTATGCTGCTCCTAAACCTGCTCACACAGAGCCAGCTTGTGGGGCCACAGGGTATTTTTAAGAACTGATTCAAGACCAGCTTGGATGTTTCTGCACTGGGAGACAGACATAGCCTGAAACATGAAGTCTTTGGGTTTAACCACAGAATGGACCCAACTGCCTCAGGCTGAGGGATCTCACCAGTTCTGCACACAGGCTCAGTGGGAAGGTAGCAGAGATGCAAGGGCTCAGGTATATTTAAAAACAACAACAAAAAAGAAAGGTGAAGAGGAACGAGTTGAGATGGGTTCATGGTGACCTGGTCCTGTCTGCAGTACCTATTTCATTTCTAGGAGGAAGATCCTCATCTTCATGACTAGGATATCTCTCCTTCCGGTCCAGCAGAAGAAAATAAATCATTTTCTCTTGGTTTTCTCTGGAAAAAAAAAAAAGAAAAACATTTGAAGAGAAAAACCATCAACATGTAGCTAAACCTTTCTCATCAAACAGCTACAATTATTCTAAATAAGCTGGAATTGGTCATGCACCTGCCAGGCAGACACACAACCCACAGAGCTTTTGAGAAGCTTGATGTCTCCAACAAGCAGCTAGTGAGGAAAGGACACAGAACAGACACAGGACAGGCAAGGCAACGTGTCCAACAGGACCTCCAAACCAAGAGTGGCACCAAGACAGGTCTCCTGAGCCTCTAAGTGCCCTTTCCCCCTCAGGGAACACACCAGCTCTCGGGCGTAGCCTTGAAATAAATAAAAATTGGCCAACAAAGACACATCCAACAGAAATAAGAGCAATGATAGCTCCCCATCCAGACTGCAGGGCTCATCTTCTCATGAAGAGGCAGCGAGGGAGGAGGCAGCACCAAGCCTCTGTTCCTGCTCAGCCTGTGAGCATCTGCCACACGGGGCACGGAAGGCTCCGTGCTCGCTCCCAGCATCTCACCAAAGGGTGAGAAGTTGCTACGGGTCCCTCACAGCAGGAGGCACCAGTTCAAAGCTCTCTCTGCCTCTCCCCAGGTTTCTAAGCACCCCAGCCCTTGGCCACCCAAGTGATATGAAGACTGAGCAAGTGCTTACTCTTCCGACAACAAGTCCTGTAAGAGTTTATTTCGGTCGCGGAAGCAGCCTAACGAGTGCATGCTATCTAACACGTCTGGGTCAATGTCCTCCAGGGAAGGGAGAGAACGAATCTGCACCTTTCGAGGGATTGGTTGCTCTGGTTCTGGCTCGTTCTTACCCCCTCTGCAGAGGAAAGATGAGAAAGAGAGAGAGAGAGAAAGAGAGAGAGAGAAAGGGGGCAGGGAAAGAAAGAGAGAAAAGAAACATGAGTCACAAATGAACCCATCCTCTGAAACAACAGCCTGCAGCAACAGATGGAAATAGCTTGTTAAATCCCCACGGAGAGACCAGAGCTCCCAACCAGACAGAGATTCTTTTCAGAAGAAACCACCGTGAAGGCTAAGACTGACCAGCACCTTGGGGACTTGGGTCTTCAACGAGCAACCTCTGCGTTCAGTCAGAGAGGCAGCAGGAACTTCACTTACCAGTGCCCCCATAAGTTAAGCAGCTGTTCAGCACCCCAATGCCAGGCACTGAGAAACCACTAGGTGATTTTAGAGATGCTGCCTCATCAGCAGGCTGCAAAGTGCAAGCTGAGTGATGCTCCTTCAAAGAAGAAGCTGCAAATGAACTGGTGTTGCTTGTCACCAATGCCACTGCAGCAGTTTCTTCCTTCAAAGCTTCAATGTGGTTAAAAGACCTCAGTGTTCTGCCCTTGACACACTCTAAAGGGTTTTTGGGGAAACCAGGCTGTTTATTTACACACCCAACATGACAAATTCTGCTTCTCTTCAGACACACAAAGGTGAGAGCTGTGGCTGAAGTGTGATGCCCAAGGTTGGCAGCAGACCTTAGAACACACCATCAGCTGTAGAGCATATTGCCCTTTAAAAATATGCAGCTAACACATGCATCCTGTGTAATTAGCTCATCCCACTCACTGGACGCAGGAAATATTGATCATTTCTTGTAATTAAATGCCCTGTCTGCAAGAAACAGGTCAAGGTGTCGGGGTATTTATAGCTGACTGAAGGACATCAATTTGCAGGCACCCTGAATGTCCTTTGACTTTGTTTTGGTTGGTGGTGGGCAATTTATGCAAACTCCATCCCCCCAGAGAGGTGGGTCTAGTGGTGGTGGGATCTGGGATGGAGACCCTGTCTCCCCTGAATCTCAGCTCTTTCTCAAAGGCTGCTTTGTGCAACGTTGAGGGGTTTGCCCTCCCTGGGTGAGGTGCTCCCTGCTGATGTTAAGGTTTTCCTGCTCTGAGGGTGATGTCCTCCTTTTCCTTTAGGGGATAAATGTGTGACTGTTGGGTCCAAGGTGGGCAACAGGAATCAGGAATGTTTACACTGCATCTGCTGGGCAAGGGATTCTTCCCTTTGCTGCTGGAAGAAAAAAGGTGAACACACCTTGTGAACTTACTCACAATGCTCTAGGCTCAGATGTGAGCAATCCAAGCACCCACACAGAAAAAGGAGCTCCAATTCAAATGCCCCTTATTTTTCATAGAAAGCAGCTCTGGTTCTCATGAGCTCAAGGTCTCAGCCAGGGGAGCAAGAGGAGAGGCCACACCAGTTGTCTCCTCCAGGAGAAGAAGGCAACACCAAGTCAAGGCAGCAGGGCTCTGATGCTAGGACAGGACAGTCACATGCTGCACCTTAACCACAGCAGATTGCTGGGTGCTACTTGCTAAATTTATCTTTGCACAAGCTGAAATGCAGTTGTGAGGCAGCTGCTCTGTTTGTGGGACATCACCTGCTGAAAGAATCCTCAGAAATTTTCATTTTATCTTCTCTTGAAGCAACAAAAACGTGCTCAGCCCTCCCTGGCTAGATGCAAAAAATCCTTGACTTAAGAAACATCTTATTCCTTCAGTGCCCTGTCTTTAAGAGGCAGCTACTCCTACCTCTTAGGATCAGGATCTAGCTCTCAGCAGGTAGTCAGCAATTATTAGATCATAACCTTCAACTATTAAAGCCAGTGATGACCTTGTCATTAAGATAAATCCTTGCAGGATGGACCTTTGAACGGCAGCTGAGTGGTTTTGCTTTTTAATGATCTGCAGTTCACATTTAAAAAGTATTGACTTAATTAATCACTCGTGATATTACAAGCAGATGTCCTTAAGGTAAAGAGATTAAAAAGAATGATTGTTTCTGAAAATTTCCAGAAAAATCAGGGTTTCCTACTAGTTAATGTAGTCTATAGCAGAAAGCCACCTGCAAGCTGCTTTTCTGTCAGCCAGGGTGGGAGCCACTTCTAGAGAGTGCAATAACTCACTGCCACAGGAGTATTTACCACAACAGCTCATTTTATTTGCCCTCTTCCTTTATTAAAAAAACAGTGACAAGAACTGCTGCTTATTTGCTGATTTATGATAACCTCAGCTTGAGATAAAAATAAATTATTTCAATTAAAAAGGCTTCAAAACCTCACTGAATTAATTTGGGGGGGGAGAGAGCAAGCAGAACTGGAGGTTGGTGATGAAAGGCTCCTCCTCTTTGGTTTCTCTCTTTCCTTTTTTTAAGCTTGTGAATCATGATTTTAACTTTCAAGACCTCTTCTTCTGCCTGCCTAGTCTGCAACTGAGTCTTTTCCTCAGTTTTACTGTAGCCTTAATATTTATTTGAAGAATTAAGTGCAATCACTTATGTTCTAAGTACAACTTTCAGATCAGTAACCCATGGATGACAAAGAATGAAGATTTTTACATAGAATAGGGGTGTTACATGAAATAAAGGAAAAAAGACAGATGTGAGCAAACCAGCCACAGAGTAAAACACTTAGAACCCCTCCCTCTCTGTCAGCATCAATATTTCCAGGCAAAGTGAATGCAAAGAGGCTGGGGAACTTTCCCAGATGAAAGTAGTTGAGTTCTGGAGGTGGCAGGGTCGTTCACAGACTAAATTTAGCCAAAGGAGGTTAACCTCCTGAGGTCAATCCATGGCTAGGATAGAGAAAATGAAAGAGAGACTCATTAAAAAAGCTATTTTGAGCAGAAATGTTGTTTTAGGCAACCTGAACAGGCTTCTGGAGAGTCTTTCTCTCTCTGCACCAACTACACTGGGAGTCTCAGGGAGGTTTGCTTTCACAAAACTCAGCTTCTGCTCCTGGAAAACAGCCTCAGATGCTATTTCCACTGGGGTAAAAAACTGTTTACTACTGTGCCAATCATCAGAGAGTCTGCCCTTCATGGAAAAGTATGTGAAAATGTCCAAACACTTATGCCTGCAAAGAAAAAAAGTCTTCACATGCTAAAATATAGAATAAAGTGATGAAACTGCCCCTGCCTAACTGTGCATGAGCCTGGGACAACTGTCCTCCAGCAGCTGAACACTTCCAGGCAAAAATCTTGAGGGGGAGTTCAGAATAATGACATGTGATCAATGACTTTTCATTTTATTTCCTGTTCTGATCAAAGCACAGAGAAAGTCCCCTCATCTCACTCCAGGAAGAGACATTTTGGAGATGACTGTTAGAGATTCTCCCTCTGTTTCTTCTACATTTGAGTTTAAAAACCAGATACCTGTGGCAAACAACACTCCAGCCCTCCTTTGGCTGGAAAAGGTGCCAAGTGGTAACTGTAGAGAGCATGAAGAAGCCACTGGCAGAGTGCTGCCACCATCTCAGGTCAACCAAGGAAAAAAACATGTTATTCAACAAACTGTTGAATGCTCTCAGGTCCTATCAAAGCCAAATAACTCCAGAAGTGAACTTTGCCCATAGGAGAGAATTAGATAAAACCCAACAAATCAAAACAAAGGTGGTTTTTCTTTTTTTCCTGGTTTAAACATCAGTTCCTATCATCCTCAGGTATTTCCCAAGAGCAGAGAGAGGCTTATGAAGGCAGGACTTTCTTTCCCACCCACCTGGGGAACCTGCAGGGATGCTGATGCTGAGAAGCAGGTATCAAAGCATCACAGAATCATAGAATTCTATCCTACTTCTGTGAAGTATTCTCCTTAGTTTGGTTAGGTATCATCAGTATTAAAAAAAAAAAGTGATTTACTTCAGTTTCTTGAAATACTATTAAGGCTACACAAAGAGCAAGGTCATTTCTAAAAGGCATCAATCTTCCTTGGACCCAAACCACTCGACAGGCACGGGCTCTCCTCACAGACCTCCCATCTCACTGCCAAGACTGCTGCTTTTAATCAAGTCACAGAACTACTCTCACATCAACAGGTTACAAGGTCAGCAGCAGCCTCTCAGCTTGCTGTGAAGAAGGAGGAGGAGGAGGGATTATGAGACAGAAAAGCTCTTGTGTCATAGGTGCCTACTTATCAGCATCATCATTTTTGTTTCTACTTCGGGGAAAAGGCAAGATGCCAAGAAGGAAGAAATGAAAGCTTTCTCCTCAAGAAGGTATTAGAGGGGATTGTCTGTGGCACTTGGGTAGCAAACTAAACGTGGCTGTTATTTGGGGTTGTTTTTTTTTTGCTGACCACTTGCAGGTATCTTTTTAACACAGCAAGTTATTGGGCTGAAGGTTTTATTTCAAACAACTGTTAGTAAAATGTTCCTGGCTAGATATGTACAGAGCTGAAGTTATAGAAGTAGCTAAGGGTAAAAATGAAATATTAGATGCCTTTCTGTCCTCTGCCTCTTTCTCTCTCTGTGTGAAAGCTGCTCTCAAACTCCAGCCTCTCCCTTCAGAGATCAGGAGACTATCAGCTCTCATATCAGAACCAACGACTGCATGCAAAAGTGAATTAAAAAAGAGCTACTTACATATACCATATGTGTTTCTGAATATGTTCTAGCTGTAAAGGAAAAGAGAACAAGGGATTAGTGCTGCAAACAGGAAAGGTAACTCCACAAGACATCCTTATTCAGGGCTTGTTCAAATAAGTCCAACATTCTGGAGCTGGAGCTGTGCAAACAACAGGAACTTTATGTCCCACACGGAGCATCCTCATCCTCACCCACCCCCCTGGGAATGAGACTAATTCAGGACAGAAGGAAGCAGGCAGGAGCAAATCCCAGGAAAACACATAAGTACAAGACTTCAGAGGCAAGTGTTTTGGGAAGTTTTTCCCTTCTCAAGCCCTTCTCCTCTATAACTGAACTGAAGCAAACAAACAGCTCCTCTCTTTATGTGTCTAGCAGCTGATTCTTTCCTCTTAAAGTTCATTTCTAGCTTTGTTTTGGGGAAAAAAGAGAGAAGGAAACAGAAACAGGTTCAAACGAATAACGTGAATAAACAAAATAAATGGTGCATGTGTGGTACAACCTTCTCCCAGGACCCATTCTTGGCTGGCTTCACATTTATCATCAAAATCTAATGGCCAAGCAGAATAAGGTTCTATGTCAAGATAATACCATTTATGGTGCCCCTGCCTGAGCAGCACACTGCAAATTTCTTTCCCTTCCCTCTTTCCCATTTCACACAGAGGCATTTTAAGAGGTAACAAAGGACTGGCCAAAGCTGCAAGGGCAGTGGCCCTGCACAGCCATGCTGACCACACTGACCATGACCTCCACAAGCACAGGGAAGAGCAAGTGACACCCTTTTTCCACAAGAAACTCTCAACTGTAGAGAGAACAAACAGTTCATCCAGCAGCAGAACCTTCCCAATCTCCTAATCTGGTCTTTTTTTTGAAGAATCATCGCAGTAGAAAAGAACTTTTCATAGATGCCCAGGGGCTGTTCATTCTGAGGACAGTATTTCTCATATTCCTCACTCTGAAGCACCTTTGTTCATGCAGAGCAACACACAGAGGGTTCTGTCTGTGCCACAAGCAGGTGAGAGCTGGAAGGGAACTTCAGTGCTAACAGCCATGAGATGAAATCACAGACCCATTAAACTGGTCGGGAAGAACGGAGGCAGCTGTCCTGCTCTCATTACCTTCCACTTCAATCCCAGAATAATGAGAATTGGAGGGGAAAAAAAATGAATAAAGAGAGGAATGGACAAACACCAGAATCTCAGAGATAGAAGGTAAGTGGTTGGCACAGAGAGGAAGGAACTGGAGACCTGGGAAACCAGGAAGAGCTGAGGTCAGCTCTACAGGAGATCAGTTTTTAAGTGAGACAGGGTTTGTCCTGTAAAGAAACCTGGGAATGCAGCTTAGGAAAGCTGACAGGAGGCTGGAGGGGTGAGTGTGAGAGACAAAGAGCCTCCTTTAGAACCGAGTCTGTTCCAACACTGCAGCCAGAGGTGCAGATGGTACTTGCAGGTCCAGCTGGAGCTGGGAGCACCAGCACCCCCAGCACACAGTTCTGTGGGACAGGATTTTAGCACGGCTGCTCATCAGGTCCACAGTACTGTGAGGATCTGCTGAGGAGTGTGCTGTACCCTCCTGGGCTGGGTAAAACCTCCCTGGGAGATGCACATCCCCCCGTGACTCCATGTGCACCACGTGGAGGGCTGGAGACATTAATGACTGCAGACAAGATGCAGATGATCCAGCTAAGTGATGTCCAAGCCTCTTTCATGCCTGCTTCTCCTGGTGCATTTTCTGTCTCCGTGGGTCACATTGTTTTTCTGTGCCTGTGATGTGCAGAGATGCCATCGGGAAGCAGACAGCAGCACTTCACTCCCTGAGCCAGAGATGGGGAAGGAAGGAGGGTCACCAGTTCACATCTCAGTCACAGAACCTCTGGGCTCCTTCAGAGATGTCACAGAGAAATCCCTTCTGCCCATCCCTGCTGATTAACCTCCTTCAGGCTAATGAACCCACAGAATTTTTCTGGGAGAGTGGCCCTGTAGCACCTCGGGATGTATGTTGGAAGATGTAGGAGAGATCTCACAGCTTCTCTTCCGTTCAATCCACACCAAAACCACCGTGGGGAGGGACACGGGGATATCCCAGCTATGAAAAATATTCTACAAACCCAATTCCTGCTCCAATTTGAACTTAATCGCTTTGGAGTGTTACTACAGGCGTGCCTGCTGCTGCCAACACCTCCACTGCTTTTTTAAAGGTAATTAATTAACGCTTTGTTGCTTTTTGGCTGCATTAAAGTGACAGGAGGGTGATGGGAGGGCGATTGGTTTTGACAGGGAGAAGCCTGTGTGCTTTTCCTCAGCAGTGCAGGGGAGGGAGATCCACAGTGGGAGCTGCTCTCACTCCTCCTGCCTTCATTTAAACACAACGTTTAAACGCATTTAAGTGAGGGAGGCATTTAACAACCCTTCCCAGAGGGTTCTTCTTCTTGCTGTTTGCACACGAGTTCGCCCAATTTAATGCCATTTGGTGGAAGCTGTAAAAATGCTGCTCCCTAATATCTCCCAGCCACCGCAGGCAATCGTCTCCTGATGTCATCTCTGAAACAACAAACCAGGCTCAGATCTGTCCCACGGGCACAGCCAGAGAGGAGATTTCCTATCAAAATCCACATATCAAATATATAATAGTTGTATATTGAGGGAGCCCAGTCTGGGATGAGAGACCCAGGGTGGGAGAGGGCTGCAGGAGCTCCTCAGGAAGGGAGGTCTCCTCCCCCAAGGAGCTTACTTCTGAGTTCTAGGGCAGGGAACAACAGATGGAGACAGACAGGCAGATGGAAAATGAGGCAGTGCTGTCTGCATCCTCAGCACCAACCTCAGCAGAGCCACTGCCAGGCTGAAAACGTTCTGACCTGCAGAAAAATGTTCTCTGAGTCTGTGGATATGGATGAGGGCTTCTGGGCTTGAACCCCTGTCAAGCTTCAATGTTCCCTGTCCAGAAAGGGAACAGTCTCAGACCCATCTGTGCACCAAACTGACCCACACCTCAGATGAATCCTCCTCATTCAGAAGATCCTCCAGTCTGAGCTTTAGACCTCCTGTGTAGTTTCAAGACTACACAGTTTCCTGGCCAAAGGACTCAAGCTGGCAGTGCAAACAGCACCAGTAAACCCATTATCTGTGTCAGGAGCACCACAGCAGCCTCTGGGGACCTTGGCAAGGGTAAGGAGTCACTGTGTGACATGTGTAATGCATGAAAAGGCCCTTGGCAGCCAAGAGCTTAAGCCCAAACATCAACGGGACAATTACCTCCATTCTACATGTGGAGAAGTGAGATAATTTAAGTGATGTGATAGGCACCCTGCCCTAGGACCTTTGAGAAAAATGAAGAAGGAATCAGGTTAAGTCTTCCCTTGTTAATTTTTTCTAACATTCCTTAGATGCTGTGGTCCATCATTAGCAGAGATTAGATCCAGGAATGAAACAAAATGAGAGAGCAGAGAGGGGATTCAGAAAACGTGTGCAACTCCAGTTGAATGATGTTCAGGGATGGGTATTTCAGGCTATGTGGACACCCAACATGGAAGAGAAGTCTTCCTACCCTGGAATCAAACGTCAGCACTGGAACAATAACAGCTCTATCAGGATGGCTTGTTCTGCAGTACCTGCTCTGAACGATGCTCACTCATCTTTACAAAGAACGTGGACCAAAAGCTCCTCACTCTCCCCTTGGCCTCTGTGTTTCTGCAGAAGAAACTTTCATCTGAGACTGCAAATGGATTTCACCACAGGAGCTGTAATTCTCTGCTGTAGAGATGCTGAATCATTTGAAAACTCCAAGGGGAAAAAAAAAAATCCCTTTCTGAAGAGCACATAGCTAAAAGAAACCTCCCCCTGCAGCACTGCAGGCACCGAGAGCACTCGCTCCTCCCCAAACCTCCTCAAGCTTCAAACGAGTTCACTCCTCCCTCCCAGCACTGCTCAGTGTCCCAGAACCCCACTAATAGGGCTAAAACACTCCCCATTTCTAGCCTGCTTTCACATAAGGCCATTAGACATACATTTTTGTGCCAGTGTCTTCCTTCAGTTTAAATAATCCTTCTCTCCCTAGTAATTACCTCTAATGAACATGCAGGCGACCAGCACCACCTTTCTTAGACACCATCTGTGCCAACCAAGTGGAGCTCTTTTACCCTGTGCTGTTCAGATGGGCTCTCTCAGATGCTGACCTCCTTGGCACTCCTTCTTGGTTTGATTTCATCTTTCATGAACATAGGTGGCTAGAAAAACCATGACCACCAGCTAGGATCAACTTTTGTGGCCTAGAGAAAGCAAGACATGGATTCTTTTCTTCTAAAGCATGTTTAGCAGAACAGGCCAGGTATGGAGAGTGGTCAAGGACATCCCACCAACCATACCTGAGGCTAGGTAACACATGGTGATGGTGAACAACGTTCCACTGAGACACAATAAAGTCTTCTCTCCATAAATAGGAAAAAAAATCACACACAAAGAAAGGTGATGCCTGTTTCTGAAGGCAGGAAAAGGCCAGCAGCAATAACTGAACCTCCTCTCCATGAATCCTCTCAAGCTCTAGCTCTGAAGCCCAAGGATGGCAGCTGAATGTGAACACTAGTTCTGGGTTTGTTGCTGGTTGTAACAGATGGGCTGGGGAAGGTGTGGGTGTGCTGTGAAATGGCAATTACTGCACCCAGGGAAATGCAGCTGGATGAAAAGGGAAAGACACACAAATCAAAAAAGGAACAAAGCAGAGAGGGGAAGGGAAAAATGAAGGGGAAAAAAAAAATTCCTAGTGGCCTTACACTTCCCTGTGTTTTTCTGCTGAATTCACCAGCCAGATATCGAGCAAACGACCAGTAATGGCAACAGCTACATCTGTACTTATTGTACCCCAGCCACAATTTCCCTCAGATCTTTGTATAAATATCAAATTGCTTCAAGTGAGGTGTTTTCTAGGAATAGAGGCTTCCAAAGAAACCCTTATTTATACCCTTTTTCCACAGGACACAGCTCAAACAGAATTCAGATCTCTCCTCAGAATGCACCATGTATTCCCAGCTCCTGTGCAGTAAACAAAGAGCTCCCTTCTGCTAGCAGCATGGAAGTGTGACAGCAGCAGGGACAGCAAACCCACAGACCCTAAAATAATGAAAATAGGATTGCAGCTAACAACAAAGAGCTATCCTTTCTTTTTTTTCCCCCTCCCGGCTCTCAGCTCTTGAATATGTTTTATTTCAAATTCTTATTCACCATTCGCCGGGTAGTGCTTGTCAATAACTATCCAATCTGGCTTTTTTTTTCCCCTCCCTGAGGAAATAAGAGCTTAATTTTGATCAGGAAAAGGTCTAGGGGTGTGTGTGTGTGTGTGTGTGTGTCACTCTGCGACCTCAATTTACCTCAACTGTTTTCTCTCTCACGTGTGTACATTCTCTGCTGTATTACACAGCTCAAAACATTTTGGGGCTATGCTCTCTGGAAAAAGTCAGAACAATCTGAAGAACACCTCACATTTAATCATCTGCTCCTTGGCACACCTAAACCATCAGCACTGAGAGATCTGACAGACACAAAACCACCAGAAAAGCTGTTATGGGAAGGAAAGGGAGCTAGAGAGGGACCTGGTGGCTTTCTTGGAACAGCTGTCCCATGCCCTCAGGGTCCAGCCCTAACCTCTGCAGCATTCTTTCCATGAAAACACTTGGAAAAAGACTCTTTAAAACTCCGTTTTAAAATGGCTGTTTAAAGTATCTAATATTTTCAGTCATGGCTTTTTTCCCCCCACCCAATCTTATGTACTGCAGACGTGAGGGCTGCAGCGTGCAGGAGCAGGGATCCCAGTCACAGCATGGAGAACTTCCCACCTCTGCCACCCAAGGCAACGTGACCTGGTTCTGCAGTGGCTGAGGCACAAAACCCCAGCTGCAGCTGCCAGGTACCACCCTGCAGAGAGTTGGGGAGGGAGTTCCAGCTCCCTCCTTCTCACAGGCAGGTGCCTCCCTCCCCAGGTCCCCTCCGTAGCAGCCTCAGCAGCGAGGCCAAGCAGTGATCTGAGAGTTTATTTATAAATATTTTAGCAGACTGAGGAACCAGGAGGAGTTTTAAATTTACATTTCTTTATACCAACTCCCACTCAGAATCTGTGAGCTTAGTATATCTGTATCAAATCATCCCCACAGCCTGACAATAGGATTTACAAGGGCAACGTACCCACAGAGGCAGACGCCTCCACTGACAAGCAGGCAATCTTGCTTTCCAAAATGATTTTAATTGCTAATTCAGTTTCCTTTTTCATTGCCCCCAACGTTAACACGGTGTTAATGAAGGGCACAATCACTACACAGCACTCTGTACCCTGGCAGGGTCTCTGTTGGAGAGGTGGGATCGTATCCTAGATGCAAAGGATCTAGGGCACAATACTCAGTGCCAAGTGCCAGGAGCACAACACTGTGCTCAGGACCACAGGGCAGGAGATCAAGGAGCAGGCTGGGAGGGAAGACACTTGCTCTGAAGGCTGCTGGAGGATCATGCAGAGGAAATGCAGGAGAGAGCACGACGCAGGTTGCGTGGCATGATGTGAGGAGCCATCCCTTTTGTCAGAAATACAAGAAAAGCATCATCTGTTTGACAGCAAAGCTTCTAGGAATAGTCCTAACAGTTTTGCCCTTTCAAACACATCCCTGACAAACTGCTGTGCCAGCCAGGAGAGCCAGACAACTCAGGGGGACTCCAAAATGTGCAAATGGGGCAGGGGGACCACGATGATGTTAGGAGGGATTTCCTCTAAGTGCCCGTTGCTCCATACATAGGAGAATTATAAAGCCAGAGAAGGGGCACAAAGGAAATCCACCCTCGTGGCTCACCAGAGAAGGTAACTAACACCTTCCCAAAGGCTCCACCAACTCCTGTGCTCAGGAGGAAACCCATGGAGGTGGCAGCAAGTCAACGGGTCATTTAACTGTTCAACCATAAGCCCGAGGAGGTGACAAGTGAAGCCTTGCCCAGGTGACTGGCAGCAAATCCCTGCTTACCGTGAGACGTTTCGAGGCATCCACTTCAATCATCCCCCGCAGGAGGTTCTGGCAGTCGGGGGGGATGAAGTGGGGCATGTGGAACACTCCACGTTTCACCTTCTCCAGCAGCTGCCGCAGGTTGTCGTCGTCGAAAGGCAGGGCACCCTGCAGGGGGGGAGGGCAGAGAGGGGCACAGGGCAGTCAGGGAGGGGAAGGGGAGAAAAGCCAGGAGAAAGGTGGTGAGAGAAGGGGAAAGGGCAACTCAGCTCGTGTGAATTGTTATAAAAAGGGGGGCACAGGGCAGTCAGGGAGGGGAAGAGGAGAAAAGCCAGGAGAAACGTGGTGAGAGAAGGGGAAAGAGCAAGTCAGCTCGTGTGAATTGTTATAAAAAGTGAAAAAAACATAGAAATAATCCTGCATTTTCTCCGACGTAGGGAAGTAAAATGAGGACAGAGTTTTTTTTTATTAGACCTTTAATTACAAAATGACTACCAGTATAAAACCTAACACAAAAATATGAAATTGCCTTCCCAGGCAAATTCACCAAAGATGCATGGATTCCCTTCAATTCAGCTCAAGCTTTTGATCTGCTGGTATTCCTCCTGGGCATACTTTCACAGCAGCAATGTTGATCGTCTCCTTATTTTTAATCTTCCTGAGACACATTTATTGCAGACATTGAAAAGGAGGTGAGCAGCATTTGAGGGACTGTCAGTAAGGAGCATCCTCTGTCTGATGGAGCAGTGAAATGACACTGCTGAAAGACACCTGAACCACCAGCAGCCTTTGGAAGCTGCAGATTTTCTACCTGTTTCACACACCCCATCCAGCCCCATGCTGGGGCCAGGTCCCCAGTTCCTATTGCTTCCTTACTGGAGTTCACTTCTGTGAATGGCTTGAGGGTTTTTTTTTGGCTGATATTAAGCTTTGAATAGATCATCAGCTTGCCACAAAAAAAGCAGCAAAAGACCTATCCTTGCTGCAAGGATGAAAAGGGGGGGAAAAAAAGAAGCTGAAATCTTGAGGATAACTCCACCAGCTGAAGCTGATACCCTTTTATAGCAAGTCTGCACCTTCCTAGAGATTCTCACTTCCTCCCTTTGCTGCCTAATTCTAGTAGGTGCTGAGCTTCCTTGGTTTGCAGGGTGGTCTGTGGGAAGCTGCAAGCTGTCAGCTGCTGTGATAATGGAGCTTTATGTTGTCATTTCTGGCCCTGCTCTTACTACAGTGAGTTGTGCATCTGGAGAAGTGATCCCTATGGTTTTGGGAGACCAGAAGTCATCCCTATGGTTTTGGGAGACCAGAAGTGATCCCTATGGTTCTGGGAGACCAGAAGTGATCCCTGTGGTTCTGGGAGACCAGAAGTGATCCCTATGGTTTTGGGAGACCAGAAGTCATCCCTATGGTTTTGGGAGACCAGAAGTCATCTCTATGGTTCTGGGAGACCAGAAGTGATCCCTGTGGTTTTGGGAGACCAGAAGTCATCCCAATGGTTTTGGGAGACCAGCAGCTCCATTTACCCAAGCCTCCAAAGTCCCACCTGATGGCGTCTGCTCCTGGGAACCAGTTCCTGCTGTTTGCTCACTGGAGTGGCCTTGAAGAGCCTCCTGTCTTCTGTACCCCACCTCCTGAGTTACCTGCTTTTGTCCTAACAGCTCCAGACTTAAAGGAAAATCAGTTCTGATAGTTCAGAGCTTTGGCTAACACAATTTAAGCCACGATGAAGTCAGCAAGGCAGCTCTGTGGCGTTTCCAGAAGATAACAACTCCAGCTCTTTCAGGACTACCTCCTGCTATTATAGCTTGAGAGTTTTTGTAGGGTTTGTCCTGACATAATTAACTGGAGAGCTCTGCACTCTCTGTCAATAATAGACTGATTTCTATCGTTTCCCAGGCTCATGTATATATGTAGGAACAGATGAAGATGTAGCGAGAGAGGCACCAAATCTTGTCAGAAAATCCTCCTGAAAATGAAAAGCCTGCTCCCAGAAATCCAACCATCTTGACACCTTCTCTCTTCTATTCTTTCCAAATTCCAGAAGCTATATTAAGAGCTCATTATACACTTCTATTTTATTAACCATGAAAATAGCTGCTCAGGAGCAATAGATGACCAAGTGAGAGAGTTAAAATTCTTCCCTTGCAACATCAAGAGAAGATTTTTTCCAGTTCAGAAATGTCAGTGAATTGTAATGACTAAAACCAAAAAAAGAATAAGAGCAGTAAAGGAGAATTACAGCATCATACTGAGGTAACTTCAAGGTATTTTGATTCAGGCCACTAAAAAACTTACCTGTATATTTTTTTGAAACAAAAAGCCTTTAAAATTTTCCAAGCATTGTACACAAAAATAAGGGGCAGAATCTAACTCTTGACTATACATTGTGCTCGTGTCAAAATCAAACATTTAAGTGGAGTAATTAGGTTTACTAATAAATCTACAGGGACATGGAAATTTGACTTCAGGCTTGTTATATTTTATAATTGTTGATGATAACTCGAACTATGAGAGATACAGAAATTGTAATATGCACATAAAAGCTGTTCTCATTTTCAGGATTCAATCTGCAGGTGGCAGATTCTTAGGTGGATATAAAACCTATTTTCCTACATTCTATGATGGAAATCAATAACAAGTGCCAAGCTTGTCTGCCTTCAGCTGGACATCCAATTGGTGCCTCTTTAGGACTCTTACATTACCCCTGCAAAGCAGAATAAATTCCCCAGGGAACTGAAACTTTGATGGAAAGAAGGGTAAGTTCCAAGATACCACATTTTGAATGCTAAAGAATTACTGAGCCAGATGGAAACTAATTTAAACTTTGTACTACTGGCTCAGTTTGAAATTCCCAAGTGCACCAAATTAAAATGTAGCTCAATGCTTGCATGGAACAAAATTGTTGCACTCGAATCTTCTCTTGATAAAACACTGCAGTTAATATATATATATATATGGAGAGAGATAGATACACACCTGCTGGAACACATATAGGCACAGAGCAGAAAAATCAAATGCTTCCCAAATCCAGCTGTATTTTGATCTTGGGAAGGATCAACGTTAGCTGACACTCTCTGTATCCTGGAGTTGTAACCCTGTGCATCCCTCCCAGTCAAAAAATGTGCTGCAGTAGCAGAAAACAACGAGGAGCATTTATGGAGACAAAGCTTTTGATGCATGTCCATGCTCTCCTGTGCAGGGCAGCAGCATCCCAAAGCAGCAGGGGACTATTCCTCCTGCCATTCCTTTGGGATTGATGCAGAAATACAAGGAACAGATGCAATCGAGAGAGACAAAAATAGGGGAACTAAAAAAACCCCATCTGCACATGATGTCACTAGAACCACCATTAAATAGAGCAGCATTTTCAGATTTTTCTCCTCTTTTGAAAGGGTAGTGCAAGGTGACTCACCACTAGCAACGCAAATAAAATGACTCCACAGCTCCAGACGTCTGCTTTCCTCCCATCGTATTTTTCTCCCTGCACAGCAACGACACAGAGGTTCAGAAGAGGGCTCACTAGGAAATGGAGTCATTATCTCTGGAGAAAAAGGGAGGGGAGAATGGGAACCCCCACATTTCAACTCAGCAACCTGCTTCCCAAGGTGGTCTTCCCAACTAGGCGGCCAAGACACAGCCCATGAGTTGAAGTTTTGTGAATATTGTTTGACAGTCTTCTCTGGGGTCTGCAAGAACAGGTTCCAAAGCTGGGAGCAGGGCAGGAATGGTGGATAAATCAGGAGTGATTAGACCTGGCACTTAAATGGTGTCAAAGGAGCATTAAGGATGTCAACAAGGTGTTTTTCTCTTCCCTGGTTCTTCAGGGAGCTTGTCACCAGACACATGAGTTGTGAACTCATGGTGTTGTCCTAAGAGGCTCTTCCACGTGTTTCCTGCTTGGCTTTACATTCAAGATGTGTTTCAAAAGAGGGGAAGGAAAAAAGGGGCCACTGAAATCTTGGATATTTATTTTCAGAGGACAAAGGGAGAGCAGAGGGGAAGGAGAGTTCTTAGTGTTTAATGAAACCAGCATCACCGACAGCCAACCCTGGTTCTTCCACTGCCATGACACTACCTCAGAGATGGGAAGGCATATGGGACATGATCCCCTGGGTGGGAGGATCAAGTCAAAGGAGGCTGCTGTGTTTCTGTCTGACCTTGTGGCAGGGAGGGGACTGTGAGAGTAACACACCATCATTTCCCTCGTGTGGTCAGTGTGGCCTGATTCAGAGCTGGGCCAAGCAAACAAAACGCTTGGTACCTTCCTTCTGTCCTCTCTAGCACTGCCTGCCTCCTGCAGGCTTCCTGGACAGAAGGTCTACCTGCAGCCTTGCAAGGAGTGACACTGAAAAAAATACATAGTTCTATATATTTATACACACTAATGTTAACCAACTTACCCGGATGACTTCAGGGCACGCATAATGTGGTGATCTGAAACACAAAATACAGTCAAATGAAGCATGTAACAGCCTGGCATTTAAGGATTATGTGCATTTCCATGTTGTTTAGCAGAATCCTGACTGGCTCGCTTCTCCAGGACACAAGTGTGCAAAACCAGAGCTCTGTCCCCTGCCTCAGTGAGAACACATTTCTCTGAAACTCAGAAAACGGTCGAGCACGAGCACAACTCAAAATTCTCTGGCCTTAAGATGAATTTCTGCAAAGCAAGGAAGGAAGATCAGGCATGTTCTGGGTCTACAACTCCAGCCCCACCAGCTCAGAGGGCAGGCTCACACTACACTGCCTTTGTATGAAAAAAAGACAGGGTGCTATTTTCAGACCAAACACACCCATCCCTAAACCACACCTTGCATCCCTAAAACAAACCTTGCATCTCTCCTTCTAAGACTGCTCCCAATTACTCCAGAAAAGCTGCCCATACACGATTTCAACATGCAATATTTTTTTTTCCCTTTAAAAAAAACCAGCAGCATTATTACCTAGTGAGTTAATATATTCTTTTTGCATCCTTCCACCCATCTATCTCTGGTTTGATTCCCGCCTGAGAATAGTTAATTACTTCGGCTTGCCAGGTAATCATTTTAATTCCTAAAGATTATAGCCACGGCTATTTATTTTATAGCCTTCATTAAAATAACTTGACAAGTAAAAGGGAAGCCAACTGTCTGAGGCCTGTGTGCAAATCATGCTATTGTTTATGCTGACACCTCCCAGCAGCCCCCGAGCCCGTCCTCGTCTCCGCATTTGTTTCTCGTGACAAACGCCAGCGTGGCTGGGCAGTGCCTGTCTCCCAAAGTAATGAGCAGCCCAGCAGCAGGGTGAGCTTGGCTTTGTGCTGGGATGCTTCGTTAATGCCCAGGGAGACAGCCCCTTAATTGAATTTCCATCCACACTGCATTTATCTTATGGTAAAATGTCGTCCCCGTGGGCGCGCCGCGCCCCGATTTGGGATCACAGCTCTTGGCAGGGAGGGGTAATAAACTCAGGGGACACTGGGGACTGAGGCTACCTTGACAGCAAAGCTTTGAGCCAGGAGTTGATCCCTCACAGGTACTAGGAGAGGTAGAATTTGGAAAGCTTAGTACAATATTTAATACCCTCCCATTTATGAGGCTGTCACAGGTATTCTAACTAGGTCTAGCTGCTCAGCACTGATCCCAAGTGTCTGGATGTTAAAAAACTTGATTTGAGAGTCAAAGCAGGTAATGAAAAGCAGAGACTTCCCTCTGAGAGCTGGCCAATGTTGACCCAAAAGGATGGGCTTGTGCCTAGTGGGTAGGACACACTACCCAGGGTCTCCTGGCAGCTCTGTCCCCACAGCCATACAGCCATGGACAAGGATCCTTCATGCTTTTAAAAGCTGCAGCTTGGAAAGGGTGACCAGGACTTCACCACGAGCCTCCTCGTCCAACTAAAACAAGAGCAGTGCCACCACAGCTTTCACACCTCACAGAGGTTCCTGGGGCTGAATTAAGTGGGATGTGCACGAGGATTTGACCTTTTAGGGCAAGAGCTTTGATGGAATTAAGAGGCAGCACCAGAAGTGGGACTGCAACCCAAGACTGGACAAGCACAGCCCAATTGTCACCAGTGTGACACTGCTTAACAGTGGGAGAGCACAGCATGGGAGCTGTAGGGAAGGCAGCAATGAAAACAGAATTTGGAAGAAAAAAAGTGGCAGCAAAGAGTCTAAGGAGGACAATAGATGATGGACCCTCACTCAGTTCAGTCACCACTGGTTCTAACACATTCAGAATGATGGAATCACGTTGGGAAGCGTATCAGGGGGTGACAAAGGAGTGAGGACACAACCTAGGGAACATCTGAGCTCCTGCCATTTAGTGTGCCCAAGTCCCTCAGTCTTCCATGAGTTTTAGCCCCTGGGAGGCAGAAGCCACCACTGCCCTTCCCCAGAGGTGAGTCACGAAGACACATTCAATAGCTGCTGCAGGTGCTGCCTGTGGCTGCTCTGGAAACTGAACCTGACCTCTCAGGGTGTCCTGTACAGGTCAGCATCAGCCTTCAGCAGAATGCTTTCAGGCTGGCTGTGCTGTCTGGGATGCACTGGAAGAGCCAGCACCTCAATCTCCAGAGTGCTTCTGAGTTTTTACTTGTCTGCAATGACTCCAACAAAGATTTCAGAACTCTTAATTGTGGATGCTGAGCAATGCAACCACCTCCACAGCTTCCTGTGCTGAAACCCTTGAACAGCAGAACCTAAGTGTTGAGAGGAACCTGAGACAGGTAGGCAGCTATTTATGTGCCCCTCTAAAAAATACACTTGAAGCATTTACCTTCCTGCAGTCAGCTGGGGTGCAGTGCAATCTGCTGGGTGTCCTACAAGGCACCACTGAAATCCTGCTAAAATTTAGGAGAGCGAGTGGAGAAAATGCTACAATAAATCCTTTGAACATGTTAGATTGATTCAATCACTCAGCAGCTGCACTGCAACTGCCCAGAGAGCAGGGGTTCCTGGCAGAGCCATTCTGAATTCTTGCCAGCACACACTAAGCAGATATCTGCAGCATTATCTTGACTAACAGCTCTAAAAGGGATCCTCTGGTCAGCCAGAATCCATAGAAAACTCATTTCCATGCTGCCAATCACAGAGCAACGTCAACAGCTTTAAAAGAGAAATCTCAAATTTAATCAAAAATCTATTTATGCTTCTACAGAGTCATGAATATTTCTTTGGCTCTTATCACTAATTATTCAATATCCGTGTGTCAAGAGCTACATTCCCTTCCTCCTCCCCTAGGCCACCTCCTCAGCCTTCAGCCACATCTCTGAGCAGCAAAAGCCACAATCTGCCCTTGATAACAAACGAGTGTATCACTCAGCAGGATCAAGAAGCAGTTGCTGCCTGTGGGTACTGCTGCTGCTGCAAAAAAAAAGCAGCCCTGATGCTGGCAGTGTTTATTCCAAGGGTGATGTGGAATTTCCCAGGCGAGCCTGCCTGGGACTGGAAGGGCTCTTGGGATGGTCATTCACAGCTCTGACTCCAGGCTGCAGTAATTGAGGGGCCTTAGCAAAGGATTTAGGTTGGATTTCAAGTCAGAGTGCAGTGGTGAAATCTAGGACAGCCCTGGACAGGTGAGTCAGGTGTTGGGGAAGAAGTGTGGCTATCCATGCAGCCATCCTGGATTTCTGCTGAGGAACTAGGAGAGTAGGTGATGATCTGTGCACATCAAGATATGGAGCAGCTACAGTAGATCCGAGACAACCAGGGTCACATCTTCAGTGCAGATGTGATGTGCCTGTGACCTACAGGTTGCATTATGTAGGTAAGAGACCTGCACTGGGCACCCAAAAATCCACCACCCGTGTGTGGGTTATCTGGGAATACAGGTAACACAACTGGAGAAGCAGTTGGTTGGTCAAGAAGCACAGTGTGAACCTACTCCTCAGTGTCACAAATAAGATATTACACTGCCTCATGGCTTCCCAGGTCCCACCAAGGATGTGGCCTTGGTTCCATGCCTTAAGAGGGCACCATCTGGGGAAGAAAAGCTCCTTTGAGTGCTATCTTTAGGCCTCACAAGCTGGAGGCAGAATTTCTGCAGGGGAGGAGGAACAAGAAGTCTCCTTCCCTCTGTTTTTGTTATGCATGAGGTTACCTTGATCCAGGAGGCACTGAAGTCCTCCCACATCTAGCTGCTCTTGTTGCTTGCATGGCTGGAGTGCCTTCTCCCCACCCTGCTAATCACCATCTCCACGCTGGCTGTCAGGGACAGAAGCTACTCACTAGTGGGAAAGGCTGCCTGTGCCTTCCCCCCATGCTGGGTACCAAAGGGCTGAGATGAAGGGGAACACCAGAGGAGCAGCAAAATGGATAAAGGGAATTCTCCAGGAGAAGGACAGAAGTTAGAGCACATCCTGAGCAGAGAAAGCGACAGCCTCAGATCACAGGGAACAGGCAGAGCCTGAAGAAACAGCTCCAGCAGCAGTGGGTAGTCAGGGCAGGAGCTGTAGGTGAGCCTGTAATTAAGGCAGTAGCTGTCGTTAAGGCTGAGTCTATTTTGCCATTAAAGCTTCCACTCAATCATTTAACTTTACACCAGAAACCAGCATCCACCCTCAGCTGTCTCACAGCCATTTACTCCTCAAGCACAACCACTTTTTTGGGGGGAGGAATCTGCAATTCAGTTCATGATTTAATACATCAGTGCAAATTATTAAGACTTAGAACCTTTAAGAGATCTTAATTCAAGAAATGAAACAACCCCCTGTATGAAAAGGGCATCACGACTGCAGAGTTAAGTATTGATAAGTTAAGAACTGCTAAAATAAAGCTTGAGGAGGTTCTGCTGCACTCAGGGTGTAAGCCAGGGTGAGGAACTGGATGTACTCCTCCCACAAAACAAGTGATAGACAAGAGGAAACAGCCTCAAATTGTGCAAGGGGAGGTTTAAGTTGGACATTAGGCAAAACTTCTTCACTGAAAGAGTTGTCCAGCCCTGGCCCAGGCTGCCCAGGGCAGTGGTGGAGTCCCCATCCCTGGAGGGGTTTAAAAGCCATGTAGATGAGGTGCTGAGGGACACAGGTTAGTGGTGACCTGGAAGTGTTACATTAATGGTTGGACTTGATCTTGAAGGTCTCCTCCAACCAACACAATTCCCCAAGGCCTCTTGGGGCCAAAGCTGGAAAGTCTGCAGCAATGTGAGGGAAGTTTTGTGGCATGAAGGACAAGCTTGTGATAGACTCATCTGACTGAGATCCTGGAGAATCAAACACTCTCTGCCCCTTCCACAGAGTCCTTCTGTGAAAGAAAAGGAACAAATGCCTTAAACCAAGACGTTCACAGGGAATTATGACTGGTGGGTCCCCCAGTTTTCAAAAATCACAGGGTGATTTCCTCCCAAGTTGGATTACCAACATTTCCAAGCCTGTGGAGCAGCAGCTGCAGTTGGCTGGCACCCTGCTCTCCAAGGAAGGGACTGTGACAGAGCACTCTGAGATATGAGGCTCCAGAGTATCCACCTGCATGCTCAAAACTGGTTGATAACTTTAATTCAGCAGAATCACATGTCCTCAGCCTGCATGCTCAAAACTGGTTGATAACTGAGTTTCATTCAGCAGAATCACATGTCCTCATAGCAAGGGAAACAACCAGATCAACGTGCCAAATATAATGTGAAAACAGTATAATTAATATTTGTACACCTAAGATGCCACGATGAAAATCCTACCTGGCATCCACAGCATGGCTTGAAAGCAGCCAGCAGAAATTACCAATGAACCCATAAAATGAATGGTGAGGACAAACCAAACATTAAATAGCTGCTTACCCAAAAAAATCACACTACCCAAACCCCAAATGAGGCCAAGATTTGTCAGAAAACCCTGTACAAGCTCATAATTGTAGGACATATCCTAAAAGTTGATCTTCTACTGGCAATGTGAAGAAAAGCCCATCTTAAATTCTCAGTGCTTGATCTTGCAGACTTTAAGCTCTTTTAACATAACTGGGGATGTATCATAGGCAAGGCTGGTATTAATGGTTATTAATAAGATTGTCTGGTATTTCCACCTAGAATCCTCATTTTAAGTTACTTATGACTTACCATCAATTTAAGAACATTTTCCTTTGCTTCTTGTCTGCCTCAAAAGAGTTTCATGTTTGTGTGCATGCTGTGTACGGGCCAAAACATTTCCACTTTCTTCCTCTAAACTAAATGCTTTTAAGAAAATTGTAGGAAAATTTCTACTACCCTCAACTGCAAAGGGAAAACTTGCACTTTTGTTTGCATTCTCTAGAAAAATTTACTCCAATTGCCACTAGGAAACTGCAGTTTGCATTTGCTAGCAGCAGCTCTCTGAGGCATCAGGATCAAGATTCTCCCTCCAATGGTGAATTGACAGAACAGTTTTTCTACCTGAAACTGATACTATGAGCTGCTGTGCCTGGGTCATCAAAAGGTGCTGAACTTTACAACAAAGTAAGCACAAAACCAATGGAAAATAGATCCAGGACTGACAACAAGTGTCTGGGATGATCAGGTGGGGGAAACTAGAGCTGGAACCTGGTGGAAAAGAGAAAAGGATCTTGGATTTGGGGTCAAATCCAAGAAAAGGGGGGGTCAAATCTGAGAAAGAATATTTATACACTGGGCATGGTGAGCCCCTGGCCCAGGTTGCCCAGAGAGGTGGTAGAAGCCTCATCCCTGGAACCATTCCAGGGGAGGTTGGATGGAGCTCTGAGCACCCTGCTCTAGCTGGGGATGTCCCTGCTCAGGGCAGGGGGTTGGACTGGATGACCTTGAAAGGTCCCTTCCAACCCAAACGATTCTGTGACTCTATGCTACATTTCCATGTCACTCTCTCCTAGCTCTTTTTTGGGATAGAGCATCTTGGAGGCAGGCAACACAGACTAGCACTGCTGTGGGTTCTGGGTCACCTGGCAGCTCCCACCAACCTCCATCCAGTAGGACTCAGTGCTTCAAAGCTGCAGGGAGTGAAACAGGGAGAAGAGATGGCAAAAATATACTTTGCCAGGTTTCTGTAAGGAACAAGGGGAATTAGGAAGGATCTTTACAAACTCCCAAGAGCTGTAACTCAACAGCATCCTTTTGAATCCTTCATTTTAGCCCTTTTGGTTCAAGAAAAGGGAACAAGGTCCAGGGAATGCCCCAACCCTTCCTGCTTTTCCAAGACTCCTATAGAAGTGACTGCAATTTATGCTCAGAGCAACTCAGGTGCTGCAATGCCTCACTGAGAGGGAGAGCTGAAGCAGAGGAAGATAATGCATCTTGCCCAAGACCACCCTGAATGTCTTCAGCAGTGGTAAGAAATCGAGCTGAGATCCCCTGTGTCTCCATCCTGAGGTTTAACCTCCAGGCACTCACTCTTCCTGCCCAGTGGTGACTCAGGATGGACTGGACAACGTCTGTTGTGAGATGTTGGGAAGCATTGCTGTGAAGAGACAGGGGTGTCTCCCCTCTCCTCACCTGGATGGGTAAGGTGGAGGAAGAGCTGAAGAGATCTAAATGAACAGAAGCACCATCCTACCACATCTTCCCTGTCTGCTCTCTGCCCAGCTCCTGGAGGAGTGCAGAGCCCCACCGGGTCACTCTGGCATGTCAAGGGCCACTCCTCCATCAGACTGCCTGGCTCTGCAGCCCCTTCACACAGCTCCTCTTCCCCTCAAGGCTCTAAAGACACACGTTTAAAACTGCAGCTTATTCCTCTGTGCTGTGCAGGCAGGATTTGAGCAGTATTCATTCCCAGGCATGGGGATTTGTTACAGCCCAGTGTGCCATCTACCAGTGACAGGTTATGTCAATGAATCCAAGCCCATCCTCACCTCCCTTCTCCCACACAATCACAACAGGACTGGATGTGGATTGTTTCTCCAGGAAGCTCCAGAAAACCATGCAGCTCCAAGGAGCAGTTCCCAGACCCCACTGACCTGAGGTACACAACAAAACACACTCCAGGCTACATGATGATCTCCACGAAGCCAGGCAAGGCTCTGCCATGACCTCAAGCCTACCCAAACTTGGGATTGGACTTAGCAGCTCCCTCCTGACAGCACAGAACTTGTTGCAGAGCTGCTGCACTGCCAGAGAGAGCTGCACCACAGGGCTCCAGCCCATCTGATCCCCCCACTGAGTGCCAGGAATACCTGGAGGCTCCTCCTGTGGCTGTGGATGGGAGTGTTACAGCCCCACCTCGTTCACAGCACAGAGGAAACCATTCTGGAAATTAACTTCTGGGTGCACAGAGGAGCATCTCATTAGAGCTCAGCACCACGGCCCTGGCTCCCTCTGTTTTGTTCCTTTTCATGCTGGCTGAATGTACCAACTGCAAGGGGAGGTAGAGCTGTTGCCTTGCAGAGCTCTGGGGTTGGTTACTGTGTGTGCTCCGAGGGAAAGGAGCCCTCACTGGCCTGCCTTTCTTCCTGCACAGTGTAGCACGTTGTTACATCTTCCTCCCTTCCTTCACCCTCCAAACCAGAGAGATCAGAAGACACCAGTATCAGCCACGCTGGGCTCCATGCCAGGAGAACTAATGAAGTGGTGTAATAGCTCACACGGAAGCCTAGTGATTGGCACCACACTTGAAATGCATCTGCAAGGCAGGAGATCAGAGCCTGGCTGCTGGGTCCTGTTTATTACAGGCACATCTCTTCCGTTCCATTGATTTCTTTATTAGCTGGTTTTCAGGCCCCAACGTGGGGCTGGCTCTGCTGGAAGCACGGAGGTTTGAATTCCAGCACAGCTCATGGGAAGAAGTTTCCCTTTGAGACTCCAGAGCCCAGTGCTAACGAGAGCAGGAACCCTACTGGGAGGATCCCGAGGAGTCTGCAAATCCTACAGAGCAACGTGAGACTGGGTTGGGTTTTGTGCTTCCTCTTGGGTTTTTTTCATGGAAGGAAAGGGGAAAAATCCATCTGAAAGAGCTCTGTGGGAACTGCAGGGAGGACTTCACTTCCTGATCTAAAGAAGAGGTTTGAAAGCATTTGCAAGCAACAGATGTGCAGACTCAGAGCCTCTTGGCTTTTCATCTGTGCTGTTCAGAGGTCAAATCTTGACTCGACGTGGACAGAAAGGAACGGGTGGGTCTCAGTGTACTCATCACCCAGCACTCCATCCCAGCATGAACTTCAAAGAGTTTTGCTATCCATTATTCATGGGGGAGGTGATAGATGCAGCAGAGCTGTACAGCTCAGGACTGAGAGGCAGGGGCTGTACAAGGATCCACGATGGCTCCACATCTACCCTGAACAGCTTTGGCTCAGAAACAGCTTTGGGGGGGTGCAGGGACATGATCCAGGGGTGCCCCAAAGGTGATGGTGACGAGACATCATCCTGTCCCCAGCCAGGCACCCAGGCTTTGCTCAGCAACAGGGCTTATCTCTGGCTCCCTTGGAAATTCCTAGAGAGCTCCTGCTGGCAATATTGCCATGGAAATGTTTGCAGATTGCCCCTGCAATACTCTTCCAAGCAGCCTCCCCCGTGGCTGCATCCAGGCCCAGGGAGGACCCTCCTGCTGCTCCCTGCCAGTCCTGCGTGGGAGCTGACACGAAGCAGTGTGGAGCATGAGGAGGAAGAGCTGCAAGCTGCAGCCTCATCACGACAGGCAAACCCCACTTCACAGCCCTGAGATCTGTTTTTTTTTTATTCACTCCTTAATATTTTTCAAGCTGCTTCTTAAAACCAGCTAACACTACTGCTCTCAGTTCCCCCAAAATTACACAGTCAGTCAAGTCAAACACTCACCAGCATAAGCAGATGAAGCCATACCTGAAATCTTTGATTTTATACCCATATGGGATAGCTACAGAGGCCTGCTTTTCACTGCAAAGTACTTGAAACTAAAGGGGGGGAGACAGACTACAAAGAAGAAAGAAATGTTTTACAATGAGCATGGTGAGCCCCTGGCCCAGGTTGCCCAGAGAGTTGGTCGATGCCCCATCCCTGGAACTATTCCAGATCTATTCCAGGGCTCTGAGCAACCTGCTCTGGTTGCAGATGTCCCTGCTGAGTGCAGGGGGTTGAAATAGATGACCTTGAAAGGTCCCTCCCAACCCAAACCATTCCATGACTAAAAACTCCTCTTTTAGCAATCTTGGACACTACATGAACCACATCCCTTATTACCTCCCTGGGAAACACCAACACCCAGGGTAAGTCTGTCAGTCACACTGAATCCCTCACTACAGCCAACTTTCCTGTCTGGAATCTACCCCTGATGTTTGCAGTCTGTTCTGAGACACTCACCCACAGCTGGTTTCTAACAAGCTGTCCCCAACCTGCAGTGATGCCATCCCAAAGTCTGCTATCCGGATGTTGTTCTTCTCGTCCAGCAGTAGGTTCTCTGGTTTTAAGTCTCTGTGGCTGCAAAGGAAGGATCAAAAAGGTGAGTTATATTACCCACGACATGCTTCATGCTCTAAAACTTGTTCTTTATGCACCACAGCACCTGATCTATTCTATTTTAATTGATTTCATGGGTTTTTTCCTTTCCCAGGCAGGAGAACACACACATCCAAGATCCAGTCCTTGCAATGCTATAAACCCTACTCCAGGTGCCCACTCCTGGTGAATCCAAGGCTTGAGCCTGCAGATGAAATGAAGGTCTTCAACTTCTAGGGATACCAACACAATCTGAGGGAGAGGCTGAGGGAAATAGGTAGGAGGAGAATTTCAGCTTGGATTCAGGGCTGGCACACTCCATCATATGCCAGCTCCTTAAGGCAGGAGGGAACACCATCAATACATTCTGCCAACAACAGGAAACCAAATGAGTGGTATCTAGAGAATAAAAAACAACATTCCTGGTGTGAATGCTACTGCAAAAAGCCCCTATTAGGAGCTGCATAGAGAGGCATAAGGCTTTGAAATAAATTTGGGTAATTAGAGCTCCTGGAGAAACCCCTTCAGCCCAGCACTGCTTGTAAGTGAGGGTGCCAGCAGTGGGGAGGAGGAGAGAGGATCCCCTCCCTCCCACCAAACCTTGGGTCTCTGATTATTTGGCAGCACAGGAAGAACCAGGCAGCTCTGCTCTTTGGGATGGCAGCTCCTGCTTCAAATCAAAGGTCTCATTTATTGACTGATTTATTAATCTCAGCCAACACCACTGTACACCCCCCTCTGCTTCTTAGCACTCAAGGGCTTTCGTACGACTATTACCTTGACTTCATTTTAGATCCAAAGACAAAAACCTTACACAAGATTCATGATCACTTTGTTTGCTTTTTTATTTGCAACTCTAGAAGAGTTCAATAAAGTCTGGAATGATCAGCTAAAGACAACCTGTAAATCACAGAGGTCAATTATATGCAAAACTAGAGTCCATTGTAATAGGACATCTGTAACAGGTATTTCCAAGGGAGACTTCCAGCAAAATAAAGCACATTCAGAGCAGGTACTGGTCACTTACCTTATCACAGAGGCCTCAGATTCCTTCCCCCTCATTTTATAAAAAGCATAAAATTTGGAATGCTTTCCCAAGAGTGACAGTGATCTTTAGGCAGAGGTCCTGAGCAACCCCTCAGCCTTAAGGTGGCACCTGGGGATTTGCAGGACTGGGACAGTACAAGGAAATCTGGAGTGGCCACAGACCTCAAAGCTTTGGTTTTATCTCCAGACAGTCCTCAAAATAAATCCAGGACAAACTATCAGCTCTTCACTACAGCAGAGAGGAGAGTGTGGCCTCTGTTGAGAATTGTTACATTTACTGCTGACTGGGCCCTAAAATACTGGGAGGATTTTATGCCCCGATGAAAATTTTCCTCTAGCTGGAACATTTCTCTGCTATCCATCTTTAGACCCCTTTGAATTTCCCGAGGCAGCATCCTGGGGATAAAAGTCAGGGCAGGAGCCTGCTCCAGAGGAGCAGAACCAGCAACACTGCCACTGGGAATGAGACTTCCTCGCTGCATTTGCATTTCCCATCTTTGCATTGCCAGCTTTTCAAATGCCAGAAGGAAGTGAGAGGAACATATGGGAATAGGGAAGGCTTGTTATAATTCACCTAAGAGCCCAGCAGCCCGGCCAGCCTCATGCATTTGTATTTGGAAAGAATTCTCTTGTGCCAAAATGAAACAAAACAAAACAAAAGTCCCGCTGTATGTGGTAATTACTTGGCATTAATGGAACATTGCAGAGCAAATGCATTTAATTTGGTCCCATTCCAGCTGATCTCTCTGGCTCTCCATGTCTTCTATGACCGCATCAACTCCTCTCTCTGCAGGTGAACAGAGGACTCGTTACCCTCTCCTTGTTCTAAAGGCTCTAAAGCTGTAGGGGCTTTATCACACGGCTGGAAAAGCAGGAGAGAAGGAGGCAGCAGCTTTATCGACAGGCACAGCAAACTCTCCCAGTGAACCCTGAGTGTGCTGAGAAAGAACAGGAGAGATGCAGCACTGCAAAAGTCAGTGTAACCCTGAGCCAGGGTGGCCACAGGCTCCCAGAGCTCCTCAACCAAGACAACGGAGCAAGCAGGCAGTGCCAGGAGCCTGCAGGGAGCACAGCAGGCACTAGAGGGGAGAGCCTGTGAGCACAAGGCTCTCTACAAGGTCCCCCCATCACACATCACAACAAAGGCTTTCCAACCCCCTTGCAGCACAGAACAGATACAGAGAGAGGTCTGAAAACAACTGCCCTGTGGAAAACAGGCACAGTTCTTGGAGGTGGCACAGAGGAGACAAAAGGCACGTGCACGGGTGACCGTGGGCCAGCTCCCCACTCCCACCCTGGCCACGCTTGCTCTGGATGCTGCTCAGGCAGCTCCTCCAGCTCCCTCCTCTGATTCTAGTCCATCCCCCTGCTCTGGGAACATCCCCGTACCGCAGGCAACTGCAGCATCCATCCAAAAGAGAAGTGAAACACTCCCTGTCACCCAGAGCTGGCAGAAGATTTTTGGTGTGGGGACAGACTCCAGATCTTGGAGCCAAACGAGCCACGTTGCCTGTAACCTGTTATTTTAAAGTGAGTTTTGAGCTGGAACATTCCAATCAGTTTCTATGACAACTCATTGTAGGTCACAGATTTCTAACCCAAGAAACCTCCTAATTGGAGTAGTTGCAGGTCATTTGTACTAATCAAATTGTTGGCTACTCTGCAAACGCTTCTCTTACTGACCCCAAACTCCCAGAAGGGCCAGACCACAGAATAATTGTTGTGCAGGATCTCTTCAGAGTGCCTGATGTGATGCAAATAATTTATCAGTAACAATTAAGAGGCCGTGAAGCAATATTTTTATTTTTCATGAGCAGAAAAAGCCTTTCATCTTATTTTCTCTTGCCTCTGCAAACCAGAACGTGGAACTTGTATCTATCTACAGAAGGATCTCTGTTTAGAGCCACGGTTGCTATGCTCAAATTTAGTAAGTTTTCACAGAATTCTGCAGAACAAGTAAATATAGTTATAGCTAGGAAAAAAAAGACAACATCTAGGAGACCTGGAGAGGGGTTTGTGTGCATAAAAAACCCTGCATGCTTTTTAACAATTCATTTCATTGATCTATTAAAATATATTGCTTCTCCCCACCAAGCTCACCCCAAAACATATGTTCATGTGTTTCAAAGCCAGAACAGCCTGATCATTGCTGCTGTACTTGCCAGAGAACGTTACCTGGCTGTGCTTATAATAAGACTATGACTTTTTTTTGAGTTTCTCATGGCTTTTGTAAAGAAGTGACTTACAAAAATGCACGTTCTCTGGCTTTAGCTGAGCTGCTAACTCTGCCTTTGGCATTGCAGCTGCTGTACTGGATGGGTTTCCTCTGTTTCCCTGTACAGGGGAAATTTGGAAATTCCTCACTGTTACAGATGGAATCTCAACTGTAGATCTGAAACTCCTGGATTCAGGCAATGACTGCTGAATCTAAGCTCTCAACAGGGAAAAAGGTGCCTCCCCCTCTTCTGGTGGGCTGAAAGAGAACTTGAAAACCTAAAGACTCAAGCCAGGAAAAAGCCCAAAGAGAAACTAGCCATATTAAATTCCACAATTCCTAGAGGAGAGGCCTTGAGCCATGATTTCAAAGCACCCAGGTGCCTGACAGAGCATCCCCCAGACCAGCACAGCACTCTCCTCACAAAAGCAGCAGGGCAGAGCAGGAGTCACGAGGAGGGTGGCACTAGGGGACAGAACGTGGCACCTGACATTCTCCAGCTTTTGCTGTTCCTCAAAAACACCCCAGATTTTCCCTCAGACTGTGCTCCCTTCTCCTGACAGCCCTCTGCAGCTCCTGCCTGCAGGGATAAACCCGAGACTGGGGCAGCACCGCTGTGAAATCTGGAAGGGTTGTTTTAGGAGGAGCCTTTCCCCTGCCAGGCACTGATGGGAAGAACACAGGGCAAAGTCAAACAAAGCTTTTATTCTCTGCCTCAGCCCTCCACGTCCCACACCCTGGTGCCCACGCCTGCAGACACACTCCAACAAGAGCCTTGTGCCTACTCAGGCAAGCACAGCCCCAGGCAACGAAAGGAGAAAGGGCTCTCCTAATTGTCATTTATCAATATTCATAAAGAACCTGCCTTAACCCCTCTTGTGCATGCTCGGGCAAGAAAGGGAAAAAAAATAACCACAACACCACAAAATGAAGCCCAACCAAAATAAAACTAAAATGAAATAATCATCCGGCTGCTCATTACCGCAGGGGATTTCCTCTCAATGTCACCACTGCCCTGCGCAGTAATTGGCATTATCTGTTATCTCTGAAGCCGTAATAAGGTTTGCCACGGGGCATTTTCTGTAATCATATTTTTTATTTGTCAGCTTGTGAGCTCCAGACCCTGAAGATGAGGCCTGACCAAAGCCAAGCGAGGCGACGCGGGCAGAGCGCGCCCGCCGCCAATCCCAGCGCCTGCCGGTGATGTCACACGCAGCCAATGAGGCCCCCGGCCCCCACCCGCCCTGGGTGCTGCAGCATTCCCTGGCTCCGGAGAAAAGAGCCTCTTCTGAGGAAAGCAAGGAGCTGTGACCTGCCCCGAGATCAGCTCCTGCATTGTTCCCAAAGGAAAAGGCCGAATTCGCCGAGAGCTGCCGCGCGGGATGGAGGCGGGGTGCTCAAAGGGGACTATGGATTTGGGGCACGCAGCTGAGGCATCTTAAAGGCCCCAAATTTGGGAGAATAGACACCCAGCGTTAGCTGAATGGCAGCTGAGGAATAAGCCATCAGTTATGGCCAAAGAAAACTTCCCAGGCTGGGATAGTCTCAGCCTGGATCTCTGCTGAGTGCTGCAGCACGGTGCGGAGCCCTCGGGGTGAGAGCAGAGGAAGAGCTGGAAGCAGAATCATAGAATCATAGGGGTTG